TATGTCGATGACATACTTCTGATAGGGAATCACATACCGAACTTGTAGTTGGTAAAGACTTGGTCAGCCAAGTGCTTCTCCATGAAGGACTTAGGGGAAGCAGCTTATATCCTTGGAATAATGATATATTGTGATAGATCACGTAGGTTGCTTGGCCTAAGTCAGAGTGCATATATTGACAAAGTACTGAAAAGATTCAGTATGGAAGAATCCAAGAAGGGATTTCTTCCGATGTCACATGGTGTTTATCTTTCTAAGGAATTATGTCCTAGAACACAAGATGAGATAGATAGGATCAAGAGGATCCCATATGCATCAGCAATTGGATCCATCATGTATGCCATGCTATGTACTCAGATTGATGTCTCATGTGCTTTGAGCACTTGTAGTAGATATCAATCGGATCTAGGTGAGCGTCACTGGATGGCTGTCAAGAATATTCTTAAGTACCTGAAGAGGACTAAGGATATGTTCTTGGTTTATAGAGGGGAAGATGAGCTCACTGTAAGAGGATACAGTGATGCTAGTTTCCAAACGGACAAAGACGATTATCGATCGCAATCAGGGTTTGTATTTTGTCTCAATGGCGGTGCAGTGAGCTGGAAGAGCTCCAAGCAAAGCACTGTAGCGGACTCTACAATGGAGGCTGAGTATATTGCATTGTCAGATGCGGCCAAGGAGGCAGTCTGGATTAAGAAGTTCATCACTGAACTTGGTGTGGTTCCTACGATTGTTGATCCTATAGACATCTATTGTGACAACAATGGAGCAATTGCTCAAGCTAGGGAACCACGGTCTCATCAGAAGTCCAGACACATACTCAGACGATTCCATCTCATCAGAGAGATAGTTGAGAGGAAAGACGTGCAGATTAGTAAAGTGCATACTGACGACAATCTCGCAGATCCACTGACAAAGCCTCTGTCGCAGCAGAAGCATGAAAGGCACTTGAAATCATTTGGTATTAAATACATGAATGATTGGCTATAGTGCAAGTGGGAGATTGTTAGAGTAGATGCCCTAGAGCCAATCAATTATTGTAGAATTGACTCTTTGTAATAATGTTCATTGATCAATAAAAGGCCTTTTATACTATATCGCGTAAATCATCATTGTATGTATTGATATATGTCCTTAGAATGGTAGAACCGTGACGAGGGTATCAAGTGTTTCAAATCTTGATAGTGAGAACCCTATGAGCACATATAGTGGCCATTCTAGAAACGTCTGTAGCCCCACTATTATTCTGAAGTAAGGGCACATATAATATGGTAAGGCTATCATAGTGTTGAACGAACTTGTTGAAAGGTAGTGACTGATCTCACTTGTCAAGGTTGTTTGGTGACAACCTGGTGCAACACATGGGTGCTTGCTGTAGGGGTAAAATGACCATTCTACCCCTAATTAGCAAGAAAAGTGGGGAGTGAAATGTAAGAAAATTTCATGGAGAATGCATTGGAGATGGGGGTGTATTTGTAAAGAATTAAAGGGCAAGGATGGAATTATCAAGAAAGTGTAAGGGCAAAATGGGAAATAGTGCTTATTTATATGAGCTAATAAGGGTTTAGCCTTACAAACCCTTCCATTCTCTACACCCCATACACCACTTCCACTCTCCATTCCTCTTATCTCTTCACCAATTTTCTAAAGGAAATTGAGGGCTTTTGATTGGATTTTGATAAGGATTTGATCATAAGCATCAAAAGGTAAGGATTCTTGCTCTAGTTATGAGATTAACTTGTGTTATTATGGAATTCTTATTAAGTTTGTGCTTAGGGTTTTAGAGAAAGAACAATTTACCAAAGATCAAGAGCTTTTTGTGAAACTACTCAAGCACAAGGTAAGTAAATCCACCCTAAGCTAAGATTTAAGTAATCAAATGATTTGTTATGCATGTATATGCTTATGAGCTTGAGATTGATTGTTGAGAATGATACTATTGTTAAGTATATGGCTTTTGATGAGTAGATTTAAGCCATGAGAAGTGGAGTTGCATGTGGATGGCTCATTCTCATAATTCTTTCTTAAGTGCAAGCAAGTAATGCAAATATGCAATGTTGCGATGGGGAACCCGTTGGTGACAAGAAGAAGAATTCCCACATACATGCCGCCTTAAGTGAGCGACATAAGAAGAAAAAGAATTTGTACGGCCCGTAAGAGTGTATGTGGATGAGGGTTGTACCAAGAAGAATTTCCTACATGCACGCCACCTTAATTGAGTGGCCTAAGAAGAAGAAAAAATTTGTACAGTCCACAAGAGTGCATGTAGATGAGGACTGTACTCACTCATACAGCCAGGGTTCTGAATCATGCATCAACCAAGTCCGATCGGCAAAAGAAAGAATAAGAATAAGAAGCTTGAGCAAGCAAGAAAAGAAAATCAAAGCAAGAATAGAAAGAAAGAAAAGAAATAGCATAAGAAATAGAAAAGAAGAAAGAAAATGCATTTCTATGCGTCACTGCATGTGCGTCCCATTCATGCATGTTACCATGATTCTTATCATGGTTAGTGAGAATAAGAAAGAAAGAAATAACAAAGAGAATTAGAAAGAACAGAGAGAATTAGAAAGAAAGAACAAAGAAAGTTAGAATGAAAGAACAGTGAGAATTAGAAACAGTAAAAGAAAAGAGAAAGAACAAGAGAGAAGGAAGAAGGAAAAGAATAGAGTAAGGAAAGAACTCAAGAGTAAGTCGCATGGATAAAAGAGTAGAAGATTTACTTACTGAGCAATTAGTGTTCACCCCGTTGTTTTTCTCTGTTTTGCAAGAAATAGGTAAGAAGCGGTCGAATGAACGTCGAGAAGCGGAGAGAAATGGCGCTATTGTCCACCGTTATTTGTTATGTATAAATTTTTTTTTTTTATGTAAAGAATTATATGTATATAAAGTAAAGAAAAATTTTGGGCCCATTGCTTTTCAAATTATATGTATATATGTTTTTCATAGTATAATTTCCAAGTATACTAGTTAAGGAAGAAGCTATTACATAATACGTGGGAGTTTTTGGTAAAAATTGAGCCACACAAATATGGTTGACTAAGATGTGAGAATTCATGGTAAAAATTGCATCACACAAATATGAATTACTATTATATTATAAGTCATGTTCATGAGGAGTCAAAAATGAAAAAAAAAATTCATTTTTTTCTGATACTCTTGTTGAATCTTCATTTCTGATTTTCATACTTCTATCTAAATCTAATCTAATAGGAATACCGATCTGAGAACATAATCTTCTTCTTAGCAGTTGAAGGAGTGAATTTTCTCATTTTCTTAGAATACTAAGCAGACTTTTTTTAAATGTGATTAACTAACAGTTGAGAATTCTTTATTTAAAAATTAAGCGTAAATATAATTACTATTATATTATAGTCAGCGTCATGAGTAAAAAATGAAGAAAATTTCATTTTTTTGGTGATACTCTTGTTGAATTTTAATTTTTTTTTTTTTTTAAATGTGGTTGACTTACACGTGAGAATTCTTGATTTGAAAATTGAGCCACACAAATATGAATTACCATTAACATGTGAGAATTCTTGGTAAAAATTGAGTCACACAAATATTGTTGACTAACACCTGAGAATTCTTGATAAAAATTGAGCCACCAAATATGAATTACTGTTATATTATAAGTCATGGTTGCGGGAAGAGTCAAAAATGAGGAAATTTCATGTGGGTTTGTTGTCCAATACTTAATGTTGCGCGTAATGATTTTGCAAATTAATATTCGTTGAAAACCGCATTTTTATGATTTTATCAAGAGCCGACATTGGATGAGATCTTTGTGGTGCTTTGACTTAGTGTAGTGTGCAGAGCCATCATTGCAGTTTCCACCAATAATGTTTCTTTGGCCGGCCAACAAATTTTGACTAAAGTTATCTTCAACTTGCCTTGTTTAGTATATGAAAAACATTGTTGACCACACATATAATATCTCTTAACCTTGCCCAAATCCCTGGTAAAAATGACAGCTAGCTGCATAACTTGGGCAGCCATACACTTTCTAACGTTATCTCACGACTAGAATTTTAACCCAAGCTTTTATTTGAGCAAATGCAATAATATGATTTATAAGTAAAAAAAATATAAAATAATACAATATCGTGAAAAACTCGTGAGTTTAAATCAGAAGGATCTTGATTCTATCTCTCTAGTTGTTTGACAGCGTCTTCAATGCAATCAGGCTAACAGCTGTGAATGTTGCATATCAATTTTATGCATGTATTGGGTGCAATCTCAAGGATTTAGGTGGGATATATTTTGTTTCTTGCCGAACTTAAATACTCTAGAATTGATCAGAGAAAAAATTGCTTCTCCTGATGGGCTTACTGATGTTTACATTTCCAAAAATTGAACAAGTAGATGAAATACCTGGTGGAGCACGATTGGGATTTATTACAGTTGGAGATGGAGAGACTTGAGGTCCTTGTGTACATAGATTGCTTGGTTTTTCTAGCAACTAGCAGTTTAGGTCCGATTTTTCAAGCTATAAGAAATGGACCATTAAAAGATAAGCCACCTCCTGGTAAGCCGCAGATCATGAGAAGTCTTCTGCAAGCCCTCTAGAAATCAGTTGAAACTACTAGAGTTTGAACAAGTTCTGTATTTGAGGTGTAATAATGTACATCTTGACTCTCTTTTGCTCATACTGTTATTTCCAACATTATGTATAGAATTTTAATTTATAATGCTTGGTTAAGGCAATAAAATTTTTGTAGTTCTCAACTATGTACGTTTATTTAGTTTCAGTGAAATTTGTGCTTCTAGAACATTTTCAGAATGAAAAATATGTGTAGTGTGAGTTCTGACTTTTGGCTTTTGAGTGCTCCACAAGAGTGATGTGAAGTGTAGAATTAAGCAGGTAGTTGTCAACATCTTGATGCTTGTGATTGAGTATTTACAGTTTTACACTGCAGAAAATGAACCTGATAAAATCTAATACAGGTAGTTGTTAAGAATGTACAAAAAGAGACCTTAAAAAGTTGATCAACCTTTTAATATTTCAAGTAATTAACCTTAATCAAGGTTATATTATATGTGATTTTCTTTCAGCTGTTGAGAGGAAACTATCCACTCATTTTTGCCTCTTTTGTGATCTTCTATTTTACGTTTTTAAAGAAATCTACTATGCATTGATAACTGGGTAATTGTTTTGTAGTGATTTGTCTCAATATAAACCGAGACAAGCCGAGATCTTGGAATTGGAGTCAACTGTATTCTTCATAATAGAAAACGATATTCTAGCCGCTCTTTGAGAAGAACATGCATTAGATATTCAGTATCATCTGTGCTGACAGTATGTTCATTTGCATATTTCCTCGAATCTGAAACTGAAATAGTCCTGAAATTTTTTGAGATTTCTAACAACATGAAGAAACAAACTGATTTAGAGCAAAGGTCGTGTGATGAAGAAGATGGTTATGATGCTGTTGTTGTGGGGTCTGGATATGGCGGTTCTGTTGCATCCTTTCGGATGTCAATGGAAGGGATAAAGGTATGCTTAATAGAGAAAGGCAGGCAATGGGAAGCTCATGATTTTCCAACTGATAGTTTGAAGATCATGTCAGCCTCACGGGTGGAGAACCGGAACATAGGTGTCAGCTTTGGCCCGAAAGATGCTTTGTTTCAGGTTATACTTCGCTTTTCTTCTTGATTTTATGGTGTGAAAGACTATTACATTTGCTTTGCAACTGAATGTTTGTTCTTGATTACAGCTCTTTGAACAAGGCGATTCTCTGGCAGCAGTAGCTTGTGGGCTTGGCGGAGGTTCACTAGTCAATGCTGGAGTGATGCTGCCAACTCCAGTTCGTACTAGAAGGAATCCAAAGTGGCCAAAGGAGTGGGAATGGGATTGGGATAGTTGTGAAGCTTCTGCTGCTACCATGCTTAGAGTACAAAGAGCTCCTGTCAGGTTTCCTGTTTCCAAAGTCATGGGAGAAATAGCCGATGGACAGATTGAAGAAAGTTGTGAAGACGTGGTGAAACTAAGCATTAATTTTGATCTTGAAGACCCTCCACCCCATCTTATAAAGCTTCAACAGACAGGAAGCTGCTTAGCCTGTGGAAATTGTCTTGCTGGGTGCCCTTACAATGCCAAAAACTCTACCGACAAAAATTATATCCTTTCAGCAATCCAGGCATATTCTCTACAACTTCATATATGGTGGACTTGAGCATTTATATATCTGCATCTTTAATTACACTGAATAATTTCAAGATCAGTAAATGTTAGAAATAATATGATATGGGATTGTTTACTGTTTTTTAGCAAATATCCAGCCTAACAGACTAATACCATATGATATGAGTTAGCCAACAGCTGTTTCAATCTGAATTTTTTGGTGATGCAGGCGGGATGTATTGTTAAAACAGGATGTCAAGTTCAGTATGTGGTCCAAAACTCTCATGAAAATCACCAGGAAGGCAAAAATAGCAGAAAAAGAAGAAGATGGCTTGTTTATTTAAACGAGATTGACTATGTAGCCGCTGATTTTGTAATTCTATCAGGTAGGACACAATACTGACAAATGTTAGATATTTTGTCAAAATAATGTTTCAAAATATTTAACAAGTTGGGAAAAAATGATTTTCAGCTGGTGTGTTTGGCACGACTGAGATACTTTTTCAGTCACAAATGAGAGGATTAGAACTCTCAGACACTCTTGGTTGTGGATTCAGCTGTAATGGTAATACTGTTCCTTTTCTTGCTGGAAGCCCTGCTCCACTTACTGCTTATGGATTAGACAGAAAGCAAATCCTTGAAAGACCCGTTCAAAATCTCTTCATCTCACACTTCTTCACTGGGTTTCACAATCCAGGTTTACCATTTCACCATGCTCAAAAACTCAATTCACTTCTATTTAGTTCTAAATGAAGTTCTAGTATCATATCATGGCATGCTTTAGTAATCAGAATATGCTAATTCCTACTGTTATTCATTGATTATTGCCATTGATTCTGGGATGATTGTGTGATAAAAGATGGAAATTAAATGGCTAGACGTTAAAGAAGTGGAATTTTTCTTTTTTTCGTCTTCCAGTGTGGACTCTTTTAACACTAGTGCTATTTGCTTATGCTGTAGAGTGCTGTACTTCCAACTGCTTATCCCTACCTCATGTTCAAAGGGATAGTATCTTATGGATGGCCAACTGGTTACTGGTTTTTTCATGGGATTATAGATAAGATGAAACATGTCATGGGTTTCCAAGCAAGCCAAGCAGTGGCGCTTAATGCAATGGGATATGATGAAAGTGATGGGAAAATCATTTTTGACAAGGGCACTAATAAAATCTGTTTCAGTCCACCCTGTGATCCTTTACTCCCACGAAAAGTTAAGGCCTTTCAAAAGCTTGCAAAGAAATTAGGGGGAATCCTATTCTTGTCAAGGTACCGAAGCACTTCGGTTCATCTTTTAGGTGGTTGCAATGCAGCTTCAGATCCTTCACACGGTGTCTGCAACTCCAATGGTCAGGTGTTTGACACAAAGGCATTTACAACTGTGCACCCAGGCCTCTATGTTTGTGATGCTTCTTTAATTCCATGTTCTGTAGGCATAAATCCATCTCTTACGATTGCGGCAGCAGCTGAGCATGTTAGTAAGCACCTTGTGAAGGATGTTATGGAGTACAAGAGCAAAAGAGGCATAGACCTTGCAGTTAAAAATGTTGACCGATATCCAGTTTTGGCCGATAGTGAAAAATTAAGGAGCACTGATAGATCAATTGTTGCAATCACAGAGACCATGAAAGGGTATATTGGAGGTATGCCATGTGTTGCTTATCTCAAAATGAAAATGAACTCCAATAATTCAGTTCATGGAGAATCTCATCCACTTTTAAGAGGAAAAGTTGGAGGTTATGTTGTTTTTGAAGCCATTGAGAAGGATCGGTTACATGTTATTGATGGAGAAGTAGATCTGTGCGAAGTGGATTACAGAACTCCTTACACGCAGTACATGCATTACCGTCTTCTTCTCGCTTCTTCTTCTGGTTCAAGGTGCAATGCAATCTGAATTTGAAATCATTTCAACTTTACTTCTATGATAACTTCTAAAATCTGATACTGTGCAGATATATTCTTGAGGGACAGAAGATAATGAACCCCTTTCTGTTAGCACTGTATGCTTGGAGGGAGGCAACTACATTGCATGTGACATTTAAAAATATTTCGGGAAAAAGTTCGAGGCCAGAAGCGATAAATATAACAGGAGAGCTTAGAATTTCCCTAATAGAGCTACTAAAGAGTCTCATGAGTCTTGAAGGAAACAGGAGGAGAAGGTTCGTAGCCCTTTTTGCACAGGCTCTCCTGAGAACATATATATTACAAATACCAAGACGGAACCCCGAGGTCTGTACCCTGCTAGATTCTTACGATAAAACTTATCCAAACAGCACTCTTTATGAAATTAAAACAGGTAATTAGAAATCAAAATCCATTTTTTAAGTTCCTCAAGAATGAAATTAACTTAGAATTTACTTCATCGATCTTATAACAGTTTAAAATGAGTTAGTTGTTAAGAATAAATGAAAAGAAAAAGAGTACTGATATTAATGAAAAAAATAAGGAAAGCAAATATAGAACACAGGTACTCTAATTGTTTCTTTGGTTTTGTGTACTTATGAGCAAATTATATATGTTTGGCTACCGTGGATAATGCAGACGATGGATATACCATCAGTTGCAAGCAATGGAAGTGCAGTCAAACTCCATGTCGACTTAAAAGAGAGGAACAACAAAATCCTGTTCTCCTTATTAATGGATATGCAACAGAAAGTTACTGGCTCCCATCAGAACCAATCGATTTAGTGAGAACTTTACTGGAAGAAGGGCGTGAGATATGGCTACTGCAATCAAGATTGCACCCTTTACATCCTGCAAACAACTTCACAATTGAAGATATTGCAAGATTTGATATTCCTGCTGGTATAAAAAAAGGCTAACGACAAATTTCAAATTTAGTTCTAAGTGAGAGTTTTCTTACTTCTCTGTGGCTTTTGCAGCAATTGCTAAGATCCTTGAATTGCACGGGAAGGGCACAAAAGTTCATGTTGTTGCACACTGTGTTGGAGGCTTAGCTGTTCACATGGCCCTCATTGACCAACATAATTTCTCTTCAACTTGGACGCCATACACTTTCTAACATTATCTCACGACTAGAATTTTAACCCAAGCTTTTACTTGAGCAATGCAATATTATGATTGATACGTAAAAAAAAAAAAAAAAAAAAAAAAAAAAAAACAATACATATCGTGAAAAACTCGTGAGTTTAATCAGAAGGATCTTGATTCTATCTCTCAGTTGTTTGACAGCGTCTTCATGCAATCAGCTAACAGCGTGAATGTTGCATATCAATTTTATGCATGTATTGGGTGCAATCTCAAGGATTTAGATGGGATATATTTTGTGTCTTGCCGAACTTAAATACTCTAGAATTACCAGAGAAAAAATTGCTTCTCCTGATGGCGTTACTGATGTTTACGTTTCCAAAAATTGAACAAGTAGATGAAATACCTGTTGAGCACGATTGGGATTTATTACAGTTGGAGATGGAGAGACTGAGGTCCTTGTGTACATAGATTGCTTGGTTTTTCTAGCAACTAGCAGTTTAGGTCCGATTTTCAAGCTATAAGAAATGGACCATTAAAAGATAAGCCACCTCCTGGTAAGCCGCGGATCATGAGAAGTCTTCTGCAACCCTCTAGAAATCAGTTGAACTACTAGAGTTTGAACAAGTTCTGTATTGTGAGTGTAATAATGTACATCTTGACTCTCTTTGCTCATACTGTTTCCAACATTATGTAAGAATTTTAATTTATAATGCTTGGTTAAGGCAATAAATTTTTGTAGTTCTCAACTATGTACGTTTATTTAGTTTCAGTGAAATTTGTGCTTCTAGAACATTTTCAGAATGAAAAATATGTGTAGTGTGAGTTCTGACTTTTGGCTTTTGAGTGCTCCACAAGAGTGATGTAGTGTAGAATTAACAGGTAGTTGTCAACATCTTGAGTGCTTGTGATTGAGTATTTACAGTTTTACACTGCAGAAAATGAACCTGATAAAATCTAATACAGGTAGTTGTTAAGAATGTACAAAAAGACCTTAAAAGTTGATCAACCTTTTAATATTTCAAGTAATTAACCTTAATCAAGGTTATATTATATGTGATTTTCTTTCAGCTGTTGAGAGGAAACTATCCACTCATTTTTGCCTCTTTTGTGATCTTCTATTTTACGTTTTTAAAGAAATCTACTATGCATTGATAAACTGGGTAATTGTTTTGTAGTGATTTGTCTCAATATAAACCGAGACAAGCCGAGATCTTGGAATTGGAGTCAACTTTATTCTTCATAAGAAAACGTATTTCTAGCCGCTCTTTGAAGAGAACATGCATTAGATATTCAGTATCATCTGTGCGGACAGTATGTTCATTTGCATATTTCCTCGAATCTGAACTGAAATAGTCCTGAAATTTTTTGAGATTTCTAACAACATGAAGAAACAAACTGATTTAGAGCAAAGGTCGTGTGATGAAGAAGATGGTTATGATGCTGTTGTTGTGGGGTCTGGATATGGCGGTTCTGTTGCATCCTTTCGGATGTCAATGGAAGGGATAAAGGTATGCTTAATAGAGAAAGGCAGGCAATGGAAGCTCATGATTTTCCAACTGATAGTTTGAAGATCATGTCAGCCTCACGGGTGGAGAACCGGAACATAGGTGTCAGCTTTGGCCCGAAAGATGCTTGTGTTTCAGGTTATACTTCGCTTTTCTTCTTGATTTTATGGTGTGAAAGACTATTACATTTGCTTTGCAACTGAATGTTTGTTCTTGATTACAGCTCTTTGAACAAGGCGATTCTCTGGCAGCAGTAGCTTGGGGCTTGGCGGAGGTTCACTAGTCAATGCTGGAGTGATGCTGCCAACTCCAGTTCGTACTAGAAGGAATCCAAAGTGGCCAAGGAGTGGGAATGGGATTGGGATAGTTGTGAAGCTTCTGCTGCTACCATGCTTAGAGTACAAAGAGCTCCTGTCAGGTTTCCTGTTTCCAAAGTCATGGGAGAAATAGCCGATGGACAGATTGAAAAAGTTGTGAAGACGTGGTAAACTAAGCATTAATTTTGATCTTGAGACCCTCCCCCCCATCTTATAAAGCTTCAACAGACGAAGCTGCTGCCTGTGGAATTGTCTTGCTGGGTGCCCTTACAATGCCAAAAACTCTACCGACAAAAATTATATCCTTTCAGCACACATATTCTCTACACTCATAATGGTGGACTTGAGCATTTATATATCTGCACTTTAATTACACTGAATATTTCAAGATCTAATGTTGAATAATATGATATGGATTGTTTCCTGTTTTTTAGCAAATATCCAGCCTAACAACTAATACCTATGATATGAGTTAGCCAACAGCTGTTTCAATCTGAATTTTTTGGTGATGCAGGCGGGATGTTGTAAAACAGGATGTCAAGTTCATGTAGGTGGTCCAAAACTCTCATGAAAATCACCAGGAAGGCAAAAGCAGAAAAAGAAGAAGATGGCTTGTTTATTTAAACGAGATTGACTTGTAGCCGCTGATTTTGTAATTCTATCAGGTAGGACACAATACTGACAATGTTTAGATATTTTGTCAAATAATGTTTCAAATATTTAACAAGTTGGGAAAAAATTTTCAGCTGGGTGTAGTTTCTTACAAACCCTTCCATTCTCTACACCCCATACACCACTTCCACTCTCCATTCCTCTTATCTCTTCACCAATTTTCTAAAGGAAATTGAGGGCTTTTGATTGGATTTTGATAAGGATTTGATCATAAGCATCAAAAGGTAAGGATTCTTGCTCTAGTTATGAGATTAACTTGTGTTATTATGGAATTCTTATTAAGTTTATGCTTACAGTTTTAGAGAAAGAACAATTTACCAAAGATCAAGAGCTTTTTGTGAAACTGCTCAAGCACAAGGTAAGTAAATCCACCCTAAGCTAAGATTTAAGTAATCAAATGATTTGTTATGCGTGCATATGCTTATGACCTTGAGATTGATTGGTGAGAATGATACTATTGTTAAGTATATGGCTTTTGATGAGTAGATTTAAGCCATGAGAAGTGGAGTTGGATGTGGATGGCTCATGCTCATAATTCTTTCTTAAGTGCAAGCAAGTAATGCAAATATGCAATGTTGCGATGGGGAACCCGTGGGTGACAAGAAGAAGAATTCCCACATACACGCTGCCTTAAGTGAGCGACATAAGAAGAAAAAGAATTTGTACGGCCCGCAAGAGTGTATGTGGATGAGGGTTGTACCAAGAAGAATTTCCTACATGCACGCCACCTTAATTGAGTGGCCTAAGAAGAAGAAAAAATTTATACAGTCCACAAGAGTGCATGTAGATGAGGACTGTACTCACTCACACGACCAGGGTTCCGAATCCATGCATCAACCAAGTCCGATCGGCAAAAGAAAGAATAAGAATAAGAAAGAATGAGAAGCTTGAGCAAGCAAGAAAAGAAAATCAGAGCAAGAATAGAAAGAAAGAAAAGAAAAGAATAGAAAGAAAGAAAAGAAATAGCATAAGAAATAGAAAAGAAGAAAGAAAATGCATTTCTATGCGTTACTCCATGTGCGTCCCATTCATGCATGTTACCATGATTCTTATCATGGTTAGTGAGAATAAGAAAGAAAGAAAGAACAACGAGAATTAGAAAGAACAGAGAGAATTAGAAAGAAAGAACAAAGAAAGTTAGAATGAAAGAACAGTGAGAATTAGAAACAGTGAAAGAAAAGAGAAAGAACAAGAGAGAAGGAAGAAGGAAAAGAATAGAGTAAGGAAAGAACTCAAGAGTAAGTCGCAGGGATAGAAGAGTAGAGGATTTACTTACTGAGCAATTAGTGTTCACCTCGTTGTTTTTTCCTGTTTTGCAGGAAATAAGTAAGAAGCGGTCGAATGGACGTCGAGAAGCGGAGAGAAATGGCGCTACTGTCCACCATTATTTGTTATGTAAAGAATTATATGTATATAAAGTAAAGAAAAATTTTGGGCCCACTGCTTTCCAAATTATATGTATGTATGTTTTTCATAGTATAATTTCTGAGTATATTAGTTAATGAAGAAGCTATTACATAACACGTGGGAGTTTTTGGTAAAAATTGAGCCACACAAATATGGTTGACTAAGATGTGAGAATTCATGGTAAAAATTGCGTCACACAAATATGAATTACTATTATATTATAAGTCATGCTCATGAGGAGTCAAAAATGGAAAAAAAAAAAAAAAATTCATTTTTTTTCTGATACTCTTGTTGAATATTCATTTTTTTTTAAATGTGATTAACTAACAGTTGAGAATTCTTTATTTAAAAATTAAGCATAAATATAAATTACTATTATATTATAAGTCGGGGTCATGAGTAAAAAATGAAGAAAATTTCATTTTTTTTTTTTTGTGATAATCTTGTTGAATTTTCATTTTTTTTTTTTAAATATGGCTGACTTATACGTGAGAATTCTTGATTTGAAAATTGAGCCACACAAATATGAATAACCATTAACATGTGAGAATTCTTGGTAAAAACTGAGTCACACAAATATTGTTGACTAACAGCTGAGAATTCTCGATAAAAATTGAGCCACCAAAATATGAATTACTGTTATTTTATAAGTCTTGGTTGCGGGAAGAGTCAAAAATGAGGAAATTTCATGTGGGTTTGTTGTCCTATACTTAATGTTGCGCGTAATGATTTTGCAAATTAATATTCGTTGAAAACCGCATTTTTATGATTTTATCAAGAGCCGACATTGGATGAGATCTTTGTGGTGTCCTTTGACTTAGTGTAGTGTGCAGAGCCATCATTGCAGTTTCCACCAATTATGTTTCTTTGGCCGGCCAACAAATTTTGACTAAAGTTATCTTCAACTTGCCTTGTTTAGTATATGAAAAAGATTTTTTATTTAAAGCCACCTTTCTGAAACCAGGGCAAGAAGCTATGGACCACACAAAGTCTCTTCAACTGGACAGCCATACACTTCTAACATTACTCACGACTAGAATTTTAACCCAAGCTTTACTTGAGCAAAGCAATTATGATTGATACGTAAAAAAAAAAAAAAAAAAAAAAAAAAAAAAAAAAAAACAATACAATTCGTGAAAAACTCGTGAGTTAAATCAGAAGGATCTTGATTCTATCTCTCTAGTTGTTTGACAGCGTCTTAATGCAACAGGCTAACAGCCGTGAATGTTGCATATCAATTTTATGCAGTATTGGGTGCAATCTCAAGGATTTAGTGGGATATATTTTTGCTTGCCGAACTTAAATACTCTAGAATTGACAGAGAAAAAATTGCTTCTCCTGATGGGCTTATGATGTTTACTTTCCAAAAATGAACAAGTAGATGAAATACCTGGTTGGAGCACGATTGGGTTATTACAGTTGGAGATGGAGAGACTGAGGTCTGTGTACATAGATTGCTTGGTTTTTCTAGCAACTAGCAGTTTAGGTCCGATTTTTCAAGCTATAAGAAATGGACCATTAAAAGATAAGCCACCTCCTGGTAGCCGCGATCATGAGAAGTCTTCTGCAAGCCCTCTAGAATCAGTGAAACTTAGATGTTGAACAAGTTTGTATTTGAGTGTAATAAGTACATCTTGACTCTCTTTTGCTCATACTGTTATTTCAACATTATGTATAGAATTTAATTTATAATGCTTGGTTAAGGCAATAAAATTTTTTAGTTCTCAAAATATGTACGTTTATTTAGTTTCAGTGAAAATTTGTGCTTCTAGAACATTTTCAGAATGAAAAATATGTAGTGTGAGTTCTGACTTTTGGCTTTTGAGTGCTCCACAAAGTGATGTGAAGTGTAGAATTAAGCAGGTAGTTGTCAACATCTTGATGCTTGTGATTGAGTATTTACAGTTTTACACTGCAGAAATGAACTGATAAAATATATACAGGTGTTGTTAAGAATGTACAAAAAGACCTTAAAAAGTTGATCAACCTTTTAATATTTCAAGTAATTAACCTTAATCAAGGTTATATTATATGTGATTTTCTTTCAGCTGTTGAGAGGAAACTATCCACTCATTTTTGCTCTTTGTGATTTCATTTTACGTTTTTAAGAATCTACTATGCATTGATAAACTGGGTAATTGTTTTGTAGTGATTTGTCCAATATAAACCGAGACAAGCCGAGATCTTGGAATTGGAGTCAACTGTATTCTTCATAATAGAAAACGATATTCTAGCGCTTTTGAGAAGAACATGCATTAGATATTCAGTATCATCTGTGCTGACAGTATGTCATTTGCATATTTCCTCGAATCTGAAACTGAATAGTCCTGAAATTTTTTAGATTTCTAAAACATGAAGAAACAAACTGAATTAGACAAAGGTGTGTGATGAAGAAGATGGTTATGATGCTGTTGTTGTGGGGTCTGGATATGGCGGTTCTGTTGCATCCTTTCGGATGTCAATGGAAGGGATAAAGGTATGCTTAATAGAGAAAGGCAGGCAATGGGAAGCTCATGATTTTCAACTGATAGTTTGAGAGCATGTCCGCCTCAGGGTGGAGAACCGGAACATAGGTGTCAGCTTGGCCCGAAAGATGCTTTGTTTCAGGTTATACTGTCGCTTTTCTTCTTGATTTTATGGTGTGAAAGACTATTACATTTGCTTTGCAACTGAATGTTTGTTCTTGATTACAGCTCTTTGAACAAGGCGATTCTCTGGCAGCAGTAGCTTTGGGCTTGGCGGAGGTTCACTAGTCAATGCTGGAGTGATGCTGCCAACTCCAGTTCGTCTAGAAGGAATCCAAAGTGGCCAAAGGAGTGGGAATGGGATTGGGATAGTTGTGAAGCTTCTGCTGTACCATGCTTAGAGTACAAAGAGCTCGTCAGGTTTCCTGTTTCCAAAGCATGGGAGAAATAGCCGATGGACAGATTAAGAAAGTGTGAAGACGTGGTGAAACTAAGCATTAATTGATCTGAAGACCCTCCACCATCTTATAAAGCTTAACAGACAGGGAGCTGTTAGCCTGTGGAAATTGTCTTGCTGGGTGCCCTTACAAGCCAAAACTCTACCGACAAAAATATATCCTTTCAGCAATCCAGGCATATTCTCTACAACTTCATTATGGTGGACTTAGCATTTATATATCTCATCTTTAATTACACTGAATAATTTCAAGATCAGTAAATGTTAGAAATAATATGATATGGGATTGTTTACTGTTTTTTAGCAAATATCCAGCCTAACAGACTAATACCATATGATATGAGTTAGCAACCAGCTGTTTCAATCTGAATTTTTTGGTGATGCAGGCGGGATGTAGTGTAAAACAGGATGTCAAGTTCAGTATGTGGTCCAAAACTCCATGAAAATCACCAGGAAGCAAAAATAGCAGAAAAAGAAGAAGATGGCTTGTTTATTTAACGAGATTACTATGTAGCCGCTGATTTGAACTATCAGGTAGGACACAATACTGACAAATGTTAGATATTTTGTCAAAATATAAGTTTCAAATATTTAACAAGTTGGGAAAAAATGATTTTCAGCTGGTGTGTTTGCACGACTGAGATACTTTTTCAGTCACAAATGAGAGGATTAGAACTCCAGACACTCTTGGTTTGGATCAGCTGTAATGGTAATACTGTTGCTTTTCTTGCTGGAAGCCTGCTCCAATACTGCTTAGGATTAGACAGAAAGCAAATCCTGAAAGACCCTTCAAAATCTCTTCATCTCACACTTCTTCACGGGTTTCACAATCCAGGTTTACATTTCACCATGCTCAAAAACTCAATTCACTTCTATTTAGTTCTAATGAAGTTTAGTATCATATCATGGCATGCTTTAGTAATCAGAATATGCTAATTCCTACTGTTCTCATGATTATGCCTTGATTCTGGGATGATTGTGTATAAAAGATGGAAATTAAATGGCTAGACGTTAAGAAGTGGATTTTTTTTTCGTCTTCAGTGTGGACTCTTTTAACACTAGTGCTATTTTATGCTGTAGAGTGCTGTACTTCCAACTGCTTATCCCTACCTCAGTGTTCAAAGGGATAGTATCTTATGGATGGCATGGGTACTGGTTTTTCATGGGATTATAGATAGTTGAAACATGTACGGGTTTCAAGCAAGCAAGCAGTGGCGCTAATGCAATGGGATATGATGAAAGTGATGGGAAAATCATTTTTGACAAGGGCTAATAAAATCTGTTTCAGTCCACCCTGTGATCCTTTACTCCCACGAAAAGTTAAGGCCTTTCAAAAGCTTGCAAGAAATTAGGGGAATCCTTTCTTGTCAAGGTACCAAGCACTTCGGTTCATCTTTAGGTGGTTGCAATGCAGCTTCAGATCCTTCACACGGTGTCTGCAACTCCAAGGGCAGTGTTTGACACAAAGGCTTTACAACTGTGGCACCAGAGCCTCTATGTTTGTGATGCTTCTTTAATTCCATGTTTGTAGGCATAAATCCATCTCTTACGATTGCGGCAGCAGCTGAGATGTTAGTAAGCACCTTGTGAAGGATGTTCTGGAGTACAGAGCAAAAGAGGCATAGACCTTGCAGTTAAAATGTTGACCGATATCCAGTTTTGGCCGATAGTGAAAAATAAAGCTGATAGATCAATTGTTGCAATCAGAGACCATGAAAGGGTATATTGGAGGTATGCCATGTGTTGCTTATCTCAAAATGAATGAACTCCAATAATTCAGTTCATGGAGAATCTCATCCACTTTTAAGAGGAAAAGTTGGAGGTTATGTTGTTTTTGAAGCCATTGAGAAGGATCGGTTACATGTTATTGATGGAGAGTAGATCTGTGCGAAGTGGATTACAGAACTCCTTACACGCAGTACATGCATTACCGTTCTTCTCGCTCTTCTTCTGGTTCAAGGTGCAATGCAATCTGAATTTGAAATCATTTCAACTTTACTTACTATGATAACTTCTAAAATCTGATACTGTGCAGATATATTCTGAGGGACAGAAGATAATGAACCCTTTCGTTAGCACTGTATGCTTGGAGGGAGGCAACTACATTGCATGTGACATTTAAAAATATTTCGGGAAAAAGTTCGAGGCCAGAAGCGATAAATAAACAGGAGAGCTTAGAATTTCCTAATAGAGCTACTAAAGAGTTTCATGAGTCTTGAAGGAAACGGGAGGAGAAGGTTCGTAGCCCTTTTTGCACAGGTCTCTCTGAGAACATTATATTACAAATACCAAGACGGAACCGAGGTCTGTACCTGCTAGATTCTTACGATAAAACTTATCCAAACAGCACTTTTATGAAATTAAAACAGGTAATTAGAAATCAAAATCCATTTTTTAAGTTCCTCAAGAATGAAATTAACTTAGAATTTACTTCATCGATCTATAACAGTTTAAAATGAGTTGGTTGTTAAGAATAAATGAACAGAAATAGAGTACTGCTATTAATGAAAAAAATAGGAAAGCAAATATGAAACACAGGTCTCTAATTGTTTCTTTGGTTTTGGGTACTTATGAGCAAATTATAATGTTTGGCTACCGTGGATAATGCAGACGAGGATATACCATCAGTTGCAAGCAATGGAAGTGCAGTCAAACTCCATGTCGACTTAAAAGAGAGGAACAACAAAATCCTGTTTCCTTATTAATGGATATGACAGAAAGTTACTGGCTCCCATCAGAACCAATCGATTTAGTGAGAACTTTACTGGAGAAGGGCGTGAGATATGGCTACTGCAATCCAGATTGCACCCTTTCATCCTGCAAACAACTTCACCTTGAAGATATTGCAAGATTTGTTCCTGCTGGTATAAAAAGGCTAACGACAAATTTCAAATTTTGTTAAGTGAGAGTTTTCTTACTTCTCTGTGGCTTTTGCAGCAATTGCTAAGATCTGAATTGCACGGGAAGGGCACAAAAGTTCATGTTGTTGCACACGTGTGTGGAGGCTTAGCTGTTCACATGGCCCTCTTGGGAGGACATGTCTCGTCAACCCACTTAGCTTCTCTGTTTGCACAAACTCTTCAATGTTCTTCAAGCTCAATGCATTGGCTACATTCAAATGTGGTTCCCCTGGTCCCTGTAAGCGTTCCATTAGTTTTATCCATTAAATTCAAAAAATTTGTTAAGACTTTTCCCACAACTATAAATCTTGTACTTTGACACAGTTCAATATTTCTTGATCAGGCTTCGACTTGAACCTTAGATTTTTATTTAACACACTGCAGGTATAATGGCCATATTAGGCAAGGACAAAATTTTGGCTCTATTGGAAACATCAAAAACCAGTTTTCGACACCAGCCTGAAATGCATTGCCGTTTCATTCCACGGTATGAGAGATGCAGACACAAAGAATGTGAGGTTTTTTCAGGCATATTTGGTAACGCATTCTGGCATCGAAATGTGGCCCTTCCATGCACCATTGGTTAAACAGGCAAAGCAAACAAGGGTTCCCATGGCAGCATTTTCCCACTCAGAAAAATATGCAACTCAGGATTTATAGTGAATAGCCATGGAAAAAACCATATTTGATTCATCCAGAGAGAATGGCAGTCTCACATTGTACATTTCGGTGGAAGGAGTCTGCTTGTGACTCCAGAAACTTCATTTCTAGCTAACAACTAAAGAAGTAACCAACCAAGTTTAAGACATGAAAGGATCGTGTGTGGAGGGCTTTGGACATTCAGACTTATGGATTGGTGAGGGTTTATAAGAAGGTTTTTCCTCCATTTGTGTCATATAGATTGGCTGAACAAGGAGGAAATCTGTGATAAGTTCAGGCAAAATATGCAGTGGGGAGGCTTTAGCTTGGGAGGATGATCCTTACAGTGGATATGGTGTTCGGAAGTGGTTTTCTCTTCTATTTTACTTTCCTCTTGTTGCTTTGGCTTGTCATTTTGATTTCAGTGTTCATGATTGATTTTGGTTAGAACTATCGATTAGAGAAGCCCCATTTATATAATTAGTCAAATATCACCAGCTTTTTATGCGTGCATGTTTTTTATCTTCATTTATTGGTTTTGTTCCAAGTTATAGCTATGGAAGATCTGGATAACACTTTTAATATTGAAAAAAACTAGATCAATTTATGTAGTTGCTGTAACTTTTTTTTTCAGATACAATGAGATATCATATTAAAGTAATAATAATTTCATATTGATTTTGTGTTTGAAGATGATAAACGAATGAGAGCATCTCCAGTGGTGTTATTTATTTTAAAGATCATATTTAATATAAATAAAGAGTATCTTCGTTGATTTTTAAATATAAAGAACAAAATTTTTATTCAAATCTAATAGACTCTTTAAATTTTAGGAGTGAGAATATGTTTTTTCAAGAAAGAAATTTAGGCTTCCTTTGGCTCACTCTTGGGAATACTATTATTAGTATTCTCAATAAAGTTAAACAGTAAAATTGCAAAAACTCACAATATTATTCAACTTTTTTTAAACCCTCCAAATTTGTTAATTTAATTAAATACCCCTAAATATTTTTTTTAGAAATTACAAAAACACCTCAGCAACCCACATTTACCATATTCCGGCCACCACTATCGAAAGATGGTCGGAATCTAGTATAATGGCGCACTACCGTCTGAATCTGGCCGGTAGTGCGCCGATCTAGCCTTTTCCGGCCAGATCCACCGTGGACCTGACTAAAAAATGCCAGATCTTTGGCCGTAGCTAGTCGTCAACGACGGCCAACATATGGTCATCGTTGACCATCAACGACAGCCGTATCTTTGACTGTCATTGACGAGCAAATATGGCCAAATCTGACTGTCAATGGCCAGATCTAGCCGTAGATCTGACATTTGCCGGCCAGATCCACCATAGATCTGGCAGGAAAAGGCCATATCGGCACACGACCGGCAAGATCTAGCCGGATATGCACCGATACGGCGACTTCGGCCACCTTTCGACGGTGGTGGCCAGCTGTCCATATTTAATGGGTGGGTTGGGGGTGTTCTTGTTAACTTTTAATGTTTTATTATAGGGGTGTTTAGTAAATGAACAAACATGGGGGGTATTTTTATTAATTTTCAAATCCTACATCGTAATACTCGCCCAATTCAACTTTTTTTTAACTTTTTTAAAAAAAATTTCTAAAAAGTGTAAAAAAGTGAACCAAACGGAGCTTTAATAAGAGAGATAAATTATAAATAAAATGCATAGAAACTTGTAATTTATTAAGATAGAGAGTGAAATTTGACTTTCTAAATGTGGAGAGTCAAACCCACTCTTTAATTTATATTTAAAGAATAAAGAGTCTGTTAAACTATTATTTCTATGGATAAACTCTTTATAATAAAGAGTTTATGTCATATAAAGAGTTATTTGGAGATGCTCTAACATGATTTCATATTGGATTCTTGTATATTGAGAGATATTTCTATGAGAAATATAGATGTGCAACCGTACTGTCATCTCATTCATTCATTCTAAAAAATTGAAAGGTTTGTTGATCATAGTCAAAACAAACATTTTACACATCAAACCAAAATTTCTCAAAATACCAGTCTGAAGAAGAAAAGCACCACTAATGGAAGATGTACCAGTTTCAAACTATGTAATATATCAACATGCAAAATTTTTTAATATTCTCATCTTTTCACTTTCGGGAAGTTAACGAACAAAAATGTTATATTTAATCAGATTCGAAACAATAAAAGTATGCTAATTGATTACAAAAATCCTCCTTCACATGTACTCTCAATAATATTTCATTACCTCTGTTCACAACTCTATCTGCACTATTTGAACCAAACAACACAAATTTGGGGCTGGAGCTCACAGCCCTTCCATGCACCATTGGTTAAACAGGCAAAGCACAACAAGGGTTCCCATGGCAGCATTTTCCCACCTCAGAAAAATATGCAACTCAGGATTTATAGTGAATAGCCATGGAAAAAACTCATATTTGATTCATCCAGAGAGAATGGCAGTCTCAACATTGTACATTTCCGGTGGAAGGAGTCTGCTTGTGACTCCAGAAACTTCATTTCTAGCTAACAACTACATGAAGCTACACCAACCAAGTTTAAGACATGAAAGGATCGTTGTGGAGGGCTTTGGACATTCAGACTTATGGATTGGTGAGGAGTCTTATAAGAAGGTTTTTCCTCCCATTTTGCGTCATATAAGATTGGCTGAACAAGGAGGAAATCCTGTGATAAGTTCAGGCAAAATATGCAGTGGAGAGGCTTTAGCTTGGGAGGATGATCCTTACAGTGGATATGGTGGTTTCGGAAGTTGGTTTTCTCCTTCTATTATTACTTTCCTCTTGTTGCTTTGGCTTGTCATTTTGATTTCAGTGTTCATATGATTGAGTTTTGGTTAGAACTATGATTACTAGACATCCCTTTATATAATTAGTCAAATATCACCAGCTTTTTATGCGTGTATGTTTTTTATATTCATGTATCGGTTTTGTTCGAAGTTATAGCTATGGAAGATCTGGATAACACTTTTAATATTGAAAAAAACTAGATCAATTTATGTAGTTGCTGTAACTTTTTTTTCAGATACAATGAGATATCATATTAAAGTAATAATAATTTCATATTGATTTTGTGTTTGAAGATGATAAACTAATGATAGCATCTTTAATGGTGTTCTTTATTTTAAAGATCATATTTCATATAAATAAAGGGTATTTTCATTGATTTTTAAATATAAAGAACAAAATTTTTATTCAAATCTAATAGATTCTTTAAATTTTAGGAGAAAGAATATGTTTTTTCAAGAAAGAAATTTAGGCTTCGTTTGGCTCACTCTTGGGAATACTATTATTAGTATTCTCAATAAAGTTAAATAGCAAAATTACAAAAACTCACAATATTATTTAATATTATTCAACTTTTTTTTAAACCTCCTAAATTTATTAATTTAATTAAATACCCCTAAATATATTTTTTAGAAATTACAAAAACATCCCAACAACCCACATTTACCATATTCCGGCCACCACTGTCGAAAGATAGCCAGAATCTGGTATAATGGTGCACTACTGGCTGAATCTGGTCGGTAGTACGCCGATCTAGCCTTTTCCTGCCAGATCCACGATGGATCTGGCCAGAAAATGCCAGATCTTTCGTCGTAGCCAGTCGTCAACGACGGCCAACATATGGTCGTCGTTGACGAGCAAATGTGGCCAAATCTAACCGTCAATGGCCAGATCTAACTGTAGATCTGGCCTTTGCCGGCCAGATCCACCATGGATTTGGCAGGAAAAGGCCATATCGGTGCATGATCGGCAAGATCCAGTCGGTCATGCGTCGATACAGTGACTCCGGCCACCTTCAACGGTAGTGGCCGGCTGTCCATATTTAATGGGTGGGTTGGGAGTGTTTTTGTTAACTTTTAATATTTTATTATAGAGGTGTTTAGTAAATAAACAAACGTAGGGGGTATTTTTATTAATTTTCAAATCCTACATCGAAATACCCACCCAATTCAACTTTTTTTAACTTTTTTCAAAAAACTTTTCTAAAAAATGTAAAAAAGTGAACCAAACGGAGCTTTAATAGGAGAGATAAATTATAAATAAAATGCATAGAAACTTGCAATTTATTAAGATAGAGAGTGAAATTTGACTTTCTAAATGTGGAGAGTCAAACTCACTCTTTAATTTATATTTAAAGAATAAAGAGTTTGTTGGACTATTGTTTCTATGGATAAACTCTTTATAATAAAGAGTTTAGGTCATATAAAGAGTTATTTGGAGATGCTCTGACATGATTTCATATTGGATTCTTGTATATTGAGAGATATTTCTATGAGAAATATACATGTGCTGCCGTAGTGTCATCTCATTCATTCTTTCTAAAAAAATTGAAAGGTTTGTTTATCATAGTAAAAACAAACATTTTACACATCAAACCAAAATTTCTCAAAATACCAATCTGAAGAAGAAAAGCACCCCTAATGTACCAGTTTCAAACTATGTAATATATCAACATGCAAAAATTTTTAAGGCTCCATTTGATTCACTTTTTTACACTTTTTAGAAAAGTTTTGTGAAAAAAGTTAAAAAAAGTTGAATTGGGCGGGTATTACGATGTAGGATTTAGAAATTAATAAAAATACCCCCTATATTTATTTATTTACTAAACACCCTATAATAAAACATTAAAAGTTAACAAAAACACCCCCAACTCGCCCAAAAAATATGATAGTCGGCCACCACCGCCGGAGGG